CGGGGTCAGGAAGGGAGGTAGAGAGCCACCGAGTTGCTTCTCTTCTAGCCTCTGGCCAAAGCAAGATACAGGATGAGTGGGAACCAGGGGGCTGCGAACAGGACCAGATCCTGGCTTAGATGGAGCCTGTCTAGTCCACACCCCTTGGCCTTCAGTGGTGGGACTCAGCTGGGGGTCAGGGCAAGGCGGGTCCTGAGAGAGCAGGCCGGACAGGACACAGATGTCCTGGTGGGGCTGCATCGAGAGGGGCTGACCCTTGCTTGTCCCATGCCCTTCCCCTGGGTCTGGCACAAGCTGCTACACAGATAAAAAGCCGGAACTCCCAGCCTGCTGCGACCAGCTACTTGTGACTCCAAGGTACCCAGAATCCTTTGGGCAGGATTTCATGGCTCTCCATGGGTGGGGATGCCCAATTTGATACAGTGGCTCACGGCCATCTTAGGAAACAGAGAGGTGAAATCACCATGGGGAGCTGGGCTCTGTTCCCAGCTCTGACATGGATTTGGGCTGCCCCCGGGAACAACTCGTTTCCCGGCACCGTGCCTCAGTTTCCCACCCCCCCTGCTTCATCGGCCTTTTCTGCGTAGACACCCTGATCTCAGTCTGTCTCCCGATGCTGCCACAGTTAAATAATGAGTAGGAACTATTCCTATTCCTTTTGCCCTGCAGCCGTTCTAGAGCTCACACCCCCTGCTAGGCAGTGGCTCGTTAGAGCGAGAGCAATATTAACTGGTTAGCCCTCTTGGGAAGGATTTATTAATGACATTGGCAAGGCACGACCCAGATAGCAGCAGCTGTTCCGAGGAGACTGACACAAGAAAGGAGAACGTTTGTGAATGTTTGCCACTGGCTCTGACCCTCAAAGGGATTCAGGTGCCTAACTCCCATGGGTCAGAGTCAGGATGGAGAACAACTTTCCCTCCCTCCCTCTCTAGGGGGAGGCAGGCGGGCAGGGGGTACCATGTGCATGACCCCTCACCCTATTGCTGCCTGTGGAAGAGGAGGGCAAGCTGGGGGCGTCATTTAGCAGGACCAACTACACTCAGATGATCTACAGCATCCCAGTGAAAACACCAGGGCTCTATACAGCGTGTAGTCAACCTGTGGAACTCCTTGCCAGAGGAGGCTGTGAAGGCTAGGACTATAATAGAGTTTAAAGAGAAGCTAGATAATTTCATGGAGGTTAGGTCCATACAAGGCTATTAGCCAGGGGATAAAATGGTGTCCCTGGCCTCTGTTTGTCAGAGGCTGGAGAGGGATGGCAGGAGACAAATCGCTTGATCATTGTCTTCGGTCCACCCTCTCTGGGGCACCTGGTGCTGGCCACTGTCGGCAGACAGGATACTGGGCTAGATGGACCTTTGGTCTGACCCAGTACGGCCGTTCTTATGTTCTTATTATGTTCTCTGCAAGTTATTAAAAAAGAGATGAGAACTAGCCCTAATCCAGGCACTTCTGGGCAGTTACACCAGGGTTCGTTTGTCCCCAGACTGCTGCTTTGTGCTTCCATTACACACTGCACATGCACGTTTGGTGTACCCGTATCTGCCCACTCGCAACCCTCCCCAACCTGTAATGCACCATTAGCCTGCGGAACTCACAGAGACAAGATCTCCCGGAAGCCAACAGCTCCACAGCAAATGCAGTAGCAGCTGGACCCTGCGGTGGATAATGAAAACAGCCCGAGTTACAACAGTAAGCACTAGAAGGGATGTCCTGACACAGGAGAGCCGGCATCAGCCAATGCTGGGGCCAGGAAGGGAATTCTCTCCGGTTCACCGAATGCAGCCAGTGCTGGCTTTTGCGTGCTGGTACATTCCTGTATTTCCTTAAACAACACGGGGGCTGGTAAGTTTGTCTGATAAGAATCGTCCTCTATCCTACGCATTCCATTTCCTCTCTGCAACCACTCACCACTCAGACCCAACGAGAAGAAAAAACCACAGGCTTCAATTGATGCGCTCCTAAGCTCACAACACAATGATGATTTTTTTTTGTCTTTTCAATCTATCTATATCAAATCAAATCTGTGGGAATGGGCTTGGGGTCTGACTCAGACACAGGAACCCAGAGCCTGAATTAGTCAAAATCTCAAAAGCCAGAGAGCAAGCTGCCAGTAACTCTCACTTTCAGGTGATGGCTGATGCCAGTAAATTCGACCTGAGAAAGGTCAACGAGGTCTCAGGCGAATTCCCCTGCCGCCCCACGATCGATGTGTGATGCCCGCGGGTGGCTGAGTAAGAGGATGAAGCCAAGACTTCGGAGGGGAGGAAGCAACAACAACCAAAAAAAAAAAATCCTTTGACACCAAAAAAGTGCAGCGTAATCTGGTCAGGAACTAGCCCCAGCCAATGTTCCTGACTTTAATCACTGAGGGGCCTTGTGGGGTGGGTCCGTGTCACGCTTCCCGTGGCGTCACGGAAAGTTCCACATGGCTGGGGTGGGGTCGGGCACATGGAACTTTCCGAAATGGGGGTCACGTGGGAATGGGGCAGGGAAAACATGCTAAGTCATGAAACGCAGGGAAGCCGAGGCAGCCTGGGGCAGGAAAGCAGGCCCTGGGAGGCCCGTGGGCTGCTCTTGGCCCAGGTGAGACCGGCCTTAGTTGCACGGATTAAGAGCAGGTTCATGCGGCCAATGAGGCGAAATCACAGCCTTGATTAACCCAGGAGGTGCGCGGGTGATAGGAGGCCAGTTCCAGGGACTTCCAAAACCAAAGACAGGAGCCCTTGCCGCTCCAGCTACTCAGCCTGAGCTGCTACGCCAAATCCCAACGGGGTCCTGTCACATGCCCGGACCTGCCTCTTCCATGTCGACAAGCCCCAGTTTTAGCCTGGCTGGCAGGCCGAGGCTCCCAGGCCCACCCCCTCACAGGGCCACAGGGCCCCGCCGGTGGCTCTGAGGAGCCCACAGACCGTGGAGAACCCGGCCCACGTCCCTCTGATCTGCTGTGATGCCATTTGGTCCCTCCTGAGCTTCGCTGGCCCCTCACGGCCGCGACAGGCCGAACCCCTGGCCCGGGCAGCGCGACCGCGGCACGGCCTCCCCGGGAGCCAGGCTGAGCTAGCCTGCACGCTGCTGCTGTCCCTGGCTCCTTCTGTCTGTCCAAGGGGCTTGTGCCCTGCTGAGAACCGCCCAGGCCTGGCTCGGGAGAAGAGAAAGCTTCGGCTGGCTCAGCGCGGCTACGGAGCCTATGCCCTGCAGAGCGGGCGCCTAGCGAAGTCAGAAACGTCCCCACTCAGCCCACAGGAGGAGGATGGCCCAGTGGTTAGGGAACTGAGCCAGGCGTGAGTCGGGCTTGACCGCACGCTCCCTCGGTGATCTCGGGCAAGTCCCGTGCCCGCCGCGGCTCAGTTCCCCGTCTGCGAGCCGCCGGCACTCGAGAGGGGAGGGAGCCCGGACGCCACGGCAGGGGTGGGGAACCTATGGCCCCTCGCCTGGATCTGGCCCCTGAGGCTCGCGGTTCCCCCCCAGCACTGGGGAGCCTGTGTTGGCATCCCAGCCCCCCGCCGCCATCCTGCCGTGGGCTGGAGCGCACGGAATCTGCTAGCCGGGCTCCCCCAGGCTCTGGCGTGCGAGGGGAACGTGGCGAGTGTTTTTCTCCTCCTCAGTCAGGGGGGGTTGGGATTTTTTTCACTTGCGTGGTCCCCCTTCCCCTGCCTGATTTTTCTGTGGGGCTGCAGCCGCCAGCTCCCCAAAAGGGTCCCCACCCCGGCACTATGGGGATGAGCCAAGAGGGAGGGATTTCTCCGTGTCCTTCCTCCCCTCTTGTAGTCTGCTGACCTGGTCGCGGCCCTTTCGGCACCCGATTGCCACCGGGGTGCGAGGCGCCGTGAGGGGATGGCACCTGCCCAAAGGAGCCCCAATTTTATGCTGGAGGTACCGCAGTAACGGACTGAACGGCGCACGTCCCTTGCAGAACCCTCCACGCAAAGCGGGAGGAGGGAGATGCACGGTTAGCGCTGGGACTCCAGGGTTTCCATCCCAGCTCTGGGAGCAGCGGAGTTCAGCGGTTAGATCAGGAGACAGGGAACCGGGACTCCCGGGTTCTTTTCTCAGCTGTGAAACGCAGCCGAGTCCAGGAGCTAGCGCGGGGCCGTGGGAGAGGGGGACTCAGGAGCCCTGGGTTTGATTGCCTGTCAAATCACAGGGCAAGCCGCTTCCCCCCCTCCCTGTGCCTCTGCTTCCCAGCCTGTAAAATGGGCATCATGAGACTCACAGTCAAAGGGCTTTGAGATCCCAGGTCTCTCCTGTTCTGTCTGATTTCGAGCAGCCCCCATTTCCTTGCCCTGCCCCCCCCCCCC